TGCGCGTGCGCGGGGCGGGGCCGCTTCGGCGGCCGCTGCTGACGGAGTTGCTCGTGTTGTCTCGCCAACCGTGACGTTTAAGGGTGACGTTACGGCAACAGCAGTCACGTTTCTCGAGTCCTGCCCGGCCCCCGCCGTGAGCTGGGGTGTGGATAAAGGGTGCAACCGAGTAGCTTCCCTCAACTGAATTTCAGTTACATTTGAAAACGTTTCAAGTTCGCAAGTGTGTTGTAGGATGCTTATGTCATAAATACAGCCGGTCAGGTTTTGTACGGCTTAATGGGTTAAAGCTGGAATTAACATGCAGTTGATACTAACTCCGGCCTTCGGGAGCCCGTCTCTTACGGGTTAAACGGGCCAACGTTACAGTCGGCTAAGGGTACCACGTACAGCACCGTTACGCCACTGACCGTGTGCGGGGTAAAGCGTTACAGGGCCGTGCGTCACCAGTGGGTGCAGAGATCCCCGGCGTCTCACGGGTCGGCCGGGGGCACGTGCCGGATCGACCGCCAGGGCACTTGTGAGCATTACTTAACGGGGCGCGTGAGCGGCGATGCCAGCGCCCCACCCAGCCCTGCTCACCCGCTGCCTCAGCCAACTCGTTTTGTGAGCACTCTGCCTGGAAGTTATTTTATAAACAACAGTTACGAAACAGCCGCTCCGCTATTCTGGTTGTTAAGAAGCACCTTGTGTAACAGGCAGGCCGTTCCAGAATGGAGGGGTTTCAACTAACTGCCCCGAACTCTTACTCATCCTTGGAATAAAACAGAAGTGATTTACACGCTTAATAATGCAGTAAGAAATTAGTAACAGCAACAAACGAACCCACGTGCCTTTCGTGACACATCATCAAGCGTTTTCTTCTAAAATCCTCAAGACAACAATGTTGAAAGTGCCTTGAGTTGTGTAGAAATTGTATTTTTTTCAAACAGGGAGACACCGGTTTGAACGCAGGACGCTTGATCTGAAATGAAAAGTTTTGGTGTGTGTGAAATAGCGGTATTGGCATGCAGTATTAATGAAAGCCATTCAAAGGTCTCGATCTTTTCTTGAGCTGGAAAAACAAGTTCCCAATCCCTTTGTCAGTCTGGCAGTTGTACTGGCCAAACCCAGACATTATCAATGTTTTCTTTTCCAGATATCTCGTTAATGACTTTCATTATACAGTTCTTAATGACAACCCCATCTATAAACACTCTTACCTCAGCGCTCAATCCAGTAGATGAGGCTGTTAATGCTTGGCTGTATTTTCCTGTATGTACTTCTTAAAACAGCTTTGTTGGATAGCAAAGCTCTCTTTCCAGTGCTTCCAGGATCAGCTCTTTAATGCCTTGCAAGTCATTATACATCTCTGTATGAAAAGGTCACCTCAATAATTACCTCAGTTACTTTCAATAAGCAAATACCCTTCTTTTCAGAAAGCACAGCAATATCTCAGTGCAGAATAGTACCAACTCCTCTAGTTTTTGCTCATACTTTAATAGGAGTTTTGTTCAACTAATTTTGATCCTTCCAGATTTCTGATTAGTATCGAAAGGAGACACTAATGGGGAAATGCCACTGCTACACAATGTTTCAGATCCTGAAAACATGGCGTTAGGTGCAAATTTGCAAATGTGTTTCCATGATGATACATTTACTAGGTCAGGACAGAGCTCAATTTGAAGAAAAATCAGATTACAGAAATAGCCAACAAATCCCTTTCCCCTAATCCGCCATGTTCTGGTGAAAATGGCTGTCAAGTTGCATATGAAATGCAAATAAAAATTGTTACAGATTACCATTTTCTTTCCTGAGACTAATACCGATCATCCCCTAAGAAGAGATGAAAAACCAGTAACCATATCAACTCGCAGAGAAGAGTTGCAGGTATATATATTCAGAAATAAGGCTGAATCCATTCCTGCCTTCTGTGTGGAAAAACCACACGAGGGGGCTAGATCCCCACGGCGTTCTCCAGGTGAAGACCTGGTGCTTCTTACTCCCTCGGAGGGAAAGGACTGGGACTGAGCCGTCTCGCAAGCAAGCGCACCTCAAGTACCCGCATCTCTAAGCACTGCCACACGAGGGAGGACAAGATCCCTGCTCTGATCCTGCCTCCCAGCAGCAACCACTCTCAAAGGCTGCCCACCCCTACATCCAGAGCGTATTTTACTGCAGAAATAAATTGTTCCCCTGGTTCCACGTTAAAATGTGACCTAGACAGAAATGCCTAGCTGGAAATAAATTGGAAACATTCAGGACCTTTTTTTCATTACTTCAAATGAATTTATGAATTTCATTAATGAAAACTCAACATAAAAGCAATGAGACATCCCCAAATAAAAAAATAAAGGTCCCTTTTATGTCCTCTAGTTAAGCCTGGATAATTTGGCAGAAACTTAAACCTACAAAAAGGACCTGACTTACTGCTGGACCAGTTTACTGCTATTACTGGCTGCTCGGCTGCATGACTTCAGCAGCAGAAAAACGGAGGAGACAGGAACATAGGGCCACAAACGGTCCTTTTGACCACAACATGATCTTAAATGTTTAAATCATTTTTGCTTTCATTTAAATGTTTAAATCATCATCAGAATGTTTAAATCATTTCTGAAAGTATTGCCTAAGCGGCCCTGCACGTATGCACCACAGTATTTTACACCACAGGAAAGTGCTGCCCCTCCAACATGCTCGTGATCTGTACTCATCTGCTGCTACTGAAAGGACAAAACGGACTGTGATTGGCAATCTGATCTCTGACATAGGTAACCTACAATGAATAATAAACGTATGCATCCAAAAATCCATTGCTTCTGCCAGTGCCTTCCCAAAAGGACTGAAAAAACTCAGAAGTTTTCAGGTAACATATATAAATAACAATCTTCTAGCATCTTTGTATGCTCACCTTCAACATTTGCCTTCATCACAAGGACAGGTGAAATGCAGGCAGCAGGCATCCTGTGAGACTCTACAGGTTCAGAACACCCGGTTGCCTGTCCAGAAAGTTTCCAAACCACTTTTTTATGCCAGGAATTTAAATCCCATGTAAGCCTATGGAATGGAAATAAAGGACAGAGAACTCGGGGCAGTATCAAACCCAGGCTCGTACGGTTTGATTCTATGTACTATTGCTCACGGACATGTCTTATTGCAGAAATGAAACGCGGTGAGTGCAAATGATAGCATAGAAGTTTGTCTCAGACAGCTCTCCTTGTCTGTTGGGGGGGAAAAGATGACACAAAAGGCAGAGTGTATAATGAGAATTATTCATTCTCAGCTGCCATATTCTATTTCCTATATCATAAAAAAGGGGAGATACACTTTCTTCCTTCTTATGACTAAAACCAAGAAGGTACTAACTTTTTTCCACAGATTTATATGCAGATTCAGAATTTGTTTTCCAATATTGATTGCATAAAAAGATTCTTCCTGGAGTTTCTTAATATATATTATTTTTCTACCGCTTAAATCTTTCGTATATATGTATTCATGCACAACTTGTACAAAGGCTGTAGCCAAAAAGTGCTGCTGTTCTCTAGCATGGTGATACAGGGAGGTAAAAAAAAAGGGGATGTAATTTCTTCACAGTACTATTGCAAGTCTATTTCCTGTTTCAAAATTACGCTCATTTCCTTCTCAGACACATTTCAAACAGTCTGGCTCCCAAAATCATTTCTAAGCTCTAAAATAACATACGATCTTTTGAAAGCCATCTGAGATTTGTTTGTGGGAAGGAGGTCTCCATACTGGTGTTTCCACTCACTCAGTAAAGCAGTCAAATTACTAACTCATCAACATTATCTACCAGGTTGCATAAGTTACTTCAACACTGGACAATTATAGTGAA